CAAAGAAGATAACATTGTTACATTCCATCATATTTCAGGTATCTCAAACTGCTCAGATTTTCTCACCAAGAAATACTCAGGTCCTGAAATTCAAAAGACATTAACCTCCACACCATTCAAGAATCATTTCTTTTTAAATCTATAGGTACTTCACTCATTCTTTCATATTCAATCACAACCAATTGAACACCGGTTAACAAAAGACAACACAATATAGTTCCAAATCAAGTTTCATCATATTTAATATTATTACATTCAATAAATACTCAGAAATGAGGGGGGGAATGTCAGGTATTACATAACCAGAATAACCAATTATGCACAATTCATCAATACTCAACATTTCACATCAACTATAAGAAGAATCAAGAATCCACTAATTGTAACATTATATGTATATTAATAGAACATCGGAATTACCTTATATACACACAGTAGAGGATATTCTGTCATGAGTTCATGCAAGCGAAAATTTTTCTTGATTGTTTGCGATGAGATGAGCCGTGACAGGGGTAAAATTTAAATTTTTCGTGTACACAAAGAAAAACAAATTTGTAAATATACAATTTCAATTTCTTTCATCTTAATTAGATATTCGAAATGTCAAGAGTCAAGACTCAAGAGTGGCAGGATTTCGACCACTCTGCTAAGCTTCTAGAAACTTAGCGTATCTTTGATGCTGTTTACCTTTTCAAGGTTGTATGGTCCGCGAGGTCTGTCGTCGAAACTTAACTGAATTATACATAGCAATCGATTTTGTCTTTTCTCGCTGGTAAATGGTGAGTTTGGTTCTAAATGAATTAGTGGTACTAAAATTGTGGATTGTGGATTGTGTTTGGGTTTACTGAATCCAATTATTTCTGGTTTCATGTTGATTAAGAGGGTACACATTTCAAACTGAAATTGATTTGACATGTACTTAACTAGGCACTAGCTTTACAATTAGAGTACCAAGTATACACTAGTATGAGGTATGAGGTCTAGTCAACAAACAACAATGAAGATATTAAATTGTCGACCGTTTACTAAGACGAATGGATAGTTTGTTGAACCTATATTATTGTTTACGCGTTACAACTTACAAGTTAGCTACACAATTTTTTTTGGTGACGTACATCTCTGTGTACGCTCTGATTTAGAATTTCGTAGAAATTTAGGGGATATAAAAATATGCATAGAGTCACCTGGGGTAGAGTCTGTTCACGTGCAAATTGCTAATCTATTTTTGATTGCTAGCCTCTATGAGGCCTGTTTCGGGCCTAGGTTTGTGATTTAGACCAAGACCTCTATTCATGTCAATATCGTGTCAAACGCGCATTTTTATTTGTGTGAAAATTTTGAAATGTCAACAAGTCTCGAAAATTGCTGAAAATTTTTTCAATTTTTATCGAAAAGATCAATTAATCCAACACATGGCTGATGAACTCTGAAGAGTTTGATAGACACCACCACGGTTCAAATTTACACAAGCAAATGTTATGAAACCCACGAGGCTCTTGTGTAATTAATGTGTATCATGGTTTGATAACTACAGGCAAATCGAAAGGTTGGTTCTACACAATCAACAATTTGTACCACAGTTGCAATAATAGGGTTTATGGTTCATGTAAACTTCCGAGAGCAAAAAAAAATGTGTCTAGAATTATCGTCTTTTCTGTATGTACAGATCTGACGATTGTGTAGGAGGATTTGATTTTTTCCGCTGTCAAATTCTGAGCCTGGGGCCTGTGTGCTGGTAGGCTGGGGAGAACAAGAACTAGGCTGAGAATTGGCTAGCTACGGCCTAGAAGGTAGACGGGGAGCCCTAGCATCCGCGATGACCGCCCCGGCTAGCCTCAGCCCAGCTCGAAGGACAAAGTACTGTGTAGCTCTTGTTCTAGACGGAAGTTGTAAAGTTGAGACAGGCTCTGCCCAACCCAACCGTTGGACCCACAAACTTCAGCTAGCCCAAGATGAAGGAGCCCACTTCTATGAATAACACAGTTCTAGAAACGTGGACGTTGGGTGAATAGTATGGCTATTGTGGTTATTGTCAGGAGGAAACAAAGGGCTAGTAAACAAGCCAACAAAGAAGCCCACAGGTGGGATTACATATCCATTTATTGTTGGGTAGTACCTTCATTTCCAAGTCACTTGATCGTGACCCACTATCTTGAGCTCAAGTGACTACGCTCGACAATGAGGAGAGGAGTACACAAACACAAACAAACCTCCCCCCAGGCTAGGGCCTGTAGTGGAAAGCTAAACCTTCTTTTTTTAGTGTGACTCAGAGCCTAGACCCCAAACCTGTGGCTGGACCTAGGTATGAATGTGCATGTGGCCATGCCACATGGGAATTTAGGTGTGAGACTAGGTGAAAATTTTTGCAATTTGTAACCACCCTTGGAAATTTCTCTTGTTTAGAAGTTAAAGATGTGAGATGAGTAAATAAAGGAAATTACACACTTTCTTGTGGTATAAATAAAATCTTTATTCCACATTTCCCACACCTGAAAGTTGTCCACTTGAGATTTTAGATCAATCAAACAACAACCACTACAACTACAAACACACAAAGGATATTGAACAATAACTCTTTATTGAATTCTATTGTCTCATTCATCTTTCTATTACTGCACTACTTTTTTTCCATAAGGTTTTCAATTTCTCCACGTGGATCATCACTGAAGAAAACATCATTATAAAGAACACAATCGTTATAGTTTAACAGCTACTTCATTATTTGCATCAATAACAAAGCATAACTCATCAATATCATTATCATATACACAAAAATGTCTGCATTCAACGATTACTGCATTGTTTGTGACAAAATTTGCACACTAAATTCTGTTTACTGTTCAGATGAATGTCAATTAAAAGATGGTCACTCTCATTTTGACTTCAACAATGCTCCACAATTGATATCACCAGTCTTAGAACCAAGATCAAATTCCATTGCTTCCACATTAACTTCATCATCAAGTTCCACAATAGAGTCTGATGAAATAGAGGATGAAGAAGATGAACACAGACATCAAGAGTACTTGATCAAAAGCCCGTTATTACTATCGTCAAATGTTAAGGAGCATTCAATAGCTGGTTTGAGTTTAAATGATGCTATTCCAAGAGAACAAGCTACTGTTTTGGATCAACATCACGTTGATTTGTTGGCGGCATCTTCAAATAACTACAAGAAATGGTTGAACGTCGTTCTATGATATAAAATACTCATCTTTACAATATCAACCTTATGCTATGGTCTATCAAGCTATCTTTAATGACAAATTTTAATGACAAAACAAAAAAAAAAGAATCATATTTATTACTGGGAAAAAACTATAAAATACCAAAAAAAAAGTTTTCTTGTGTATATAACACACTGCTAGGTTTTATAAATATTTTCTATTGGGGCGGTTTAAATAAAAAGTTTATTGCATTTTCATCATAAATATCAATTTGTAGTTTCATTTCTATATTTGTTTCACCATAAAACTGAGTCCACCTTTTGCTGCACGTACCGTGTTTTTTTTTTTAGCTGGCGCGGAGTACGGATCGACGACTTTTACAAATGTTAACCCAACCAATTTACACAAACGACACTAGACAAACTACTCATTGACTAGATATAACAAAGGTTATGATTTATGCTTCATATTATGTATTGGTAGTTTTTCAAAGAAGTCACAAGATGTTATACCCTGTACCCTGTACTCTCCTCTACACTTGAATTCTAGTGCTGTAGGTGCTAAATTTTTTTTCTCAAGGCTTGAACGATTCATCACATCATTGCTATTCACTTAGAGATCCATCATCCTAGGTTAAATAAAACACTGCACTTTCAACCGAGACCACGCCCAAAATGTATTCAGCTTGTAATTATTCCAGACTGTGACTCTCCACTGTCCAGTCTTCACTGTTTGCAGGTTGAAATTAGGGCTTGGTGATGATTTTCTCAACATGTTTGTTGGATTGAGCTTGATGACGTTTTTGTAATTTCTAGACCTGAATCTGAATTACAATTACCATACAAAAGTGTTGGAGCTGGCAGGATTTGTGCAGATGCTACGTTCTACATGTAACAAAACAAAGATTCGAGATTTTGACTGCTTTGTAAATCTATACTTAAATTTAGCATTAATTTGTAGTCTCGACTTGTGAGCCTTTTCAAAACCAACGTACAACGAGCACCTCCACCTACAACAACAAGCACTCTAGTAATTAGATTGATTTTAATTGACAATGGACACCGATAGCGGTCCAGACTTCCCGTCCAAGGTTTGACCACCTCCACTGTCATTTGAGCTTCAATAAAGTGAACGCGCTTTAAATAAATTGGGACTTGATCTTTACTGCCATGCACTCAAAAGATGGAGTGACATAAATTTTCCACCTTGTTTCGAAATCTCTTCAAGTTATTGCGGTAGCAGTTGTACCATAACTAGTTGTTGATATTGATGTCAGGTTTCCCCATTTAGTGAAGAGGATTATCAAGTTTGACCTTGAGCGGCAGTCACTTGAATACTATTGTAATTACTCTCCCTCAAAAATTATTGATACAACTGCAGAAGATTCTAGTTTCTTGGATTTGATCTTTCAAAGTTAAATATTGGAAGGCTAGATATTCAAGATCGTGATACATTGACGTCGATGGAAACTTACAACCGATAGCCAAGTTCCAACACAATTGTAACAAGCTCAAAACCAACGGGCTTTGAAAAACCATCCATGGCACGCTCCAAAAAAGCTTGAAAGCATATACGTTCGATAGCCAACTAAAACCTTTTTAGATCAATTCCATAAAACTCGACAGATTTCACAGCTTAAGACACATCCTCCTGATCTGATCAGTTCTTGGGAAGCCAAAAGGTTCGAAATTTGGGAGTCACTGAAAACCAATAAATACTCCAATTCTAGCAAGCTGACTCGAGCAGATAATGGAAAAGTATACTTGCAACCATATTCATTAAAAACTTATTCCTACCCTCCCCTAGCTTTGTCTGAATCTCTTTGTCAAGTATAAAAGTTTCCAGCTTGGAGCTCAACTATTGATCGAGATTTTCAAAAACATTAAATCCGAGATCAATCGGATATAACACAATGTCGTGCTCGTACCTAACTACCATTTTTTTTCTTGAGAAAAACAAATTTTTGAACGCCATATAGAAAATTTAAAATGATCTGAAATCAATTGTGGAATGTAAACACAACTTGCTCAAACAGCTGAATAATGAACGAAGCAGGACTAGCAGAAATTGTGAATGTGAGTTTCAATAACACTCAGAATCAGTTGGGAATAATATTAACGCGTCATCAAGGCCATTGAGTCTCTATATACAGAAAGAGATCCACAACGTATCAAAACACTTCAAGCTCTATTACAACAGGAACAGAAGTCGCCCAATGGTTTATTGATAGCTGACTTTTTGCTATCCACTCCTGGTCTATCACTCAATTGCAAATTCTTTGGCGCTTTGACTTATACTGTTAATTTGAATCTTTACAAAACAACACAAGAAAAAATTAACATCATTCAAGTCTTGAATAGATTATTAATCCATTTATCAACTTCCATAAGTGAACTGAGATACGATGGTGTTCAAAACTTATTTATAATAAAGAAGTTGCTTTCAAATCTATCATTGTTTTTCAATTCTTATAAATTGCAAGATGTTCAATGGATTAACCCTTTGAAACCTTTGATCTTCATGCTCATTTCAAATCAGCCGCCATCAATAGATCAATTGAATATTGAAGTCAACCTAATGCAACTAGTTGAATTATCCTACAAAGACAAAACCCCAATAAGGCTGGTATTAGAATTCTCATCTGTTCTTGTTGAGGACTTGCTTAAAATTGGAAAAGATGCTGAAAAGGGTATTATCCATGAATACATACATTCAAATGTATATGAAATAACAAAACATTTGACAGTGTTCACATTTGAGTCTCATGATGATGAACTTATACTTCTGGGACTAGAAAATTTGACCTCTTGGATTCTTTACATCTCGTTTGCTCATAATAATACAGCTGTTAGATATAAAGATTTGAATAACCTATTACAATATGTCGTTGGGTTGTTACAATCTCCAAATGATGAAATATCTGACAAGTGCTCAGAGATCGCAACTGAAATCTTCGAGAATGATCCCCTTTTAATGAATTACGAACTAAGAGAACGGTTCAATAGTTTGATTATGAGTCCATGGAGTTTATCAAAGATCAATGAATACGTGACTAATGAGGATTTTGATTCATTATCAAATTTTGCATCTTTGATTATTACATTTTTGGAAATTGATTGCATTCAACTAAGCTCAAAATTAATGAAGAATGAGTGGAACGAGTTTTTAAAATTTTTGTTGAATTTGACAAACTTCCCATTAACCCCAATTATACAAGAAACAGTCTCATTGAAATTCATTGGATTTTGGTGTCAGATAATAGAAGTGTTTACGGATGAAATGGATATGATCGAAAATGCTCTAAATAATGATTCAGGAATTATTGATGAAGTGAACAAAAACTTTGAAATTTTGCTTCAAGAACTCTCAATGATCTATTTTAGAAAAATCCAACTAACAGTTACATCTGATTTTGAATTTAAACAAAATAGAGACGCGTTTTTGAGTTTCAGAGGGGATACAGTGGAGATATTTGAAATGATTCATTCCAAACTAGCTTCATTATTTGGTACATTAATTTCATTAATACTAGAAAGTTCAGATATCAACCAAATAGAAGCCAGTTTATACATTCTTACAGCCATCTGTGTCAATTTCACAAATAATTATGAAGATTTTAGTACAGTTATTGGTGTTGAACATCTATTTGAATCAAAGTTTTTGTCCAAATTTAACGAACTCACATCAAAAATGCCACACTCACAAGCAGAACTTTATGTTAAGACAAGTATAAGATTTTTGGGATCACTAGAGTTTTTTTATACGAAAAACAACACTGTTTATTTAAATTCAGTGATTGATTATTTATTCACTTGTCTTAAAAATCATCCAGAACAAGAAATTTTAATATCTAAAACCATTATGGAACTTTGTGACAATTGCAGATCTCTTTTAGTCTCAAGTATACCAAACTTTGAACCAATATTAGTTGAAATGATCAGAAATCCATCAATCAATAATTATACAAGAGAGAAATTTATCAACTCAATCAGTTGTATCATTCAATCTATTCCAGATCCAGAGGCACAAGAAAATCATGTTTATCATATTCTAGAGCTCATAGAAAAAACATCTGAACCAGCTCTACAAAAAGCTTCTCAAGAAAGTTTGAGCAAAGATGAATCTGAATATTTGATATCATTGTTTAACTCGTTACATGAATTAGGGAAGGGATTAAGCTTGCCTGATGACTTTGAAGAGGATGAACCTCAGCTTTACAATCAATTTTGTACATTTTACAAAAACAGAAACAACAGAATTCAAGATAAGATAGTTAGATTGGTTAATTTATTCGCTATAGAGATTCCGTCGTTGGCGAAGAACTTAGAGGTGAATGAAAAGGCATGTTTAATTCTCAAAGTTGGATTGCTCGAAGAATTTGGTCCATTTGCTTTCACAAACAATGTTGTTCTACAATTCGCACTATCGAAAAAATCACAAGGTATTTCTTTCCAAATAAGAACTTATCTTCTTGAGTTATTGACCACCCTCATAAACACTGGGCTGCACTCAAAGGTTGACAGCTCAAATATTTTATCACAGGATGATGTCACAAATATTGTTGAACATTTTATTGTACAAGATTATCAAAACATATCAGAGGATCCTGACTTACTACAATTAGCTTTGAATATGTTGACTCAGGTCCTGGTACACAAGCCTGCTTTTCTTCTTCATAATGAGAACTCAATAAGATTCTCCATTGAAACTGCATTGTCATTGTTGTATTCTCATGAGAAGTTTGTCATTAAAGCAGCATCAAAATTCTGGACAACTTTTCTTTCAGCAAGAAAAACAACTAGGGATGATTCCTTGTTGATCCAGCAGATTGTTGAGTCTGAGCTTGGTCAAACTTTAACCTTCAAAACGTTTGAAGCTTTGATTGATGCAGCAAGATCTGATGTTGATACTTACAGTAGCATCATCGTCATACTCTTTGCTAAATATCAATTGAAATTTAAAGATTGGATAAGAAACGCATTGATACAGATTGATGAGCAGAGAATTTCTAATGGGAAAAAACCAATACATGAAAAAGAATTATTCGTCAAGAAATTGATGGTCACAAGAGCATCAACAAGAAAATGTAATGAGCTGATCAAAGATTTTTGGATTACAACAAATGGATTAGTTTCATTTACAAATTAAACACTGGAATAATAAACATATTTTTTTCTCCAATTAAGAATAACACAAAGTAAACACAAAAACATTTAAAGTAGATAGCGCTCAAGCACCCAATGATTCAAATTTCTTAACCAAATAGTCGGCCTCATTACTGAAATCAATCTTGTTAACACCAACAGCGTTGTATCTCACCCTCACTTGACCATTATAATTATCTTGTCTTGCTCTGATTCTAAATTCAAATTCATTCATTTGGATCTTGGAAATGATAGAGGTGAATTGTTGGTTATCATCCTCTTTATATTTGACCAGATCATTAGCACTAACACCCAATAAAATCTTGGCTTGGTCTTCAAAAAGTGTAACCCATAGTTGACCAGTAGTATCAACAACTGAGATGGTTAAGATGTATCTATATAATGGAACGGCATGATTAATGTCACATTTTTCACATCTCCAAGTACCATCATGTTGTTCGATAACTTTTCTGTTACAGCCTTCAGTTGAACATGCTGGATATGAGAAATTATCAGTTTTGAGGAAACTAACAGAAGCCTTGATGGTGAAATAATCTGGTTTTTCTCCCAAACCTAATTCCAAAGTTTGAACATCTGCAATCGTTTTACGATCTTCAATTGCTGTTTTATTTGTTGTCATTTCTGTTTTCAGAGTTTGGAAACTCTCATTACGACCTTCAGTATCATACCAACCTTTCACAGCATAAGCTTCCGGAGCATCTGGGTTTGATGCAATTGTACCTGATGGAGTTAATGACAAAGTCTTCCCATTGAAATCGGAAACTTTCGCACCTTTAATAGCAATAACTGTACCTTCTGGAGTATCAAATTCCAATGCTGTTTTATTCCATAAACCAACAGAGATGGCGAATTGACTATCATCCACTATTGTGATATCACGACGATCATAAGCACGTCCTGCTTTTGAAGTGATTTGGAAATGTGGATTGACTTCCTTAATAACACCAACAACATCAATAATTGAATCAGCCTCCAAATTCTGGATTTTATTTAATTTGACAAAATCATAATGTAATTTAGGAACTTCATCATCATCTTCACACAGTTCAATTTGGGTATCTCTGTCTAGTTGCAATTCATAAGGATGTTTCAAATTTGAAAACTGTGGTCTAGATGGTTGAATTCTTGCCTTTGAAATATAATAAGCCTTACCATCTTGTAACAAATTATAAAACTTTTCAGCATTATCATTGAATGCAGTTGCTCTAATTTCATCAGTTTCATCCAAAAGATTAACATTGAAAAGTTTACCTTCACCTCTTTGGTTTGACCAAGTACGCATTTCACCCTTGAATGAAACTCTTGCTTTAATTGTCCAAACATTTTGATATGGAGATAATTGATCAATAGCGTATATGTTTGATGGTTTTTGTTGATTTGATTTTTTAGCGGTTGCTTGAGCAGGAGCTTGAGCAGGAACAGGTGCTGAAGGTTTTGGTTGTTCTTTCTTTTGTGGCGCTTCAACTTGTGGAGTTGGTGTATTTTCTTCACCATCGTTGCTCTGATAATTGTCCTCGTCTGGATGAGATTTGAAATAATCATCCAACGATTCAATGTTGACCCCAACTTTTTGAGCAGTTTCTTGTTTGACAATCAATTCACTAATAATAACAACATGTTTGTTACTTTGGCCCATTCTTTCAATTTCATAACTTTGTAAAGTGACAATACTTGATTTTTGCAATCCATGTTTTTCACAATATTCAACACCTTCTGGTCTAACAACAGCATGTGTGCTATGAACACCATCAGAGATCAAGAGACGTAGTCTTTTACCAGCTTCATTAGGAATTGGTCTAACATTTGTCACTTGCAAAGTTGCCGGGTTTTTGGCTGTCCAGTACTCTTCCTTAGAGAATAACTTCTTGAGGATATCTGTATCTAATTCAGACATGATTGTTTAATTCAATTGTGAACGAAGTAGAGTACAAATAATGGGTCGCCACTACATATGTTTTTATTTTTCTACAAACGCGTTTCACGCGTTTTGAAAATGGTGTTCTGATGTTATACGTTTTTTTTTTTTTTTGATTTTGCTCCCAATTGTAAATATGTACTGAAGCTTATGAGTGTGATTCAGTTATCGATGACACCAAAATGTACACACTGAGCATTCAATCAAGCTTCGAGGAAGTCATAAATGATGTTGTGGAAAACCGTTTGCAATCAGATCAATTTTGGATAAACTTCGTTGACGCTGAAGATGTTCAAGATGGTACAATGAAGGAAGAAATAGTGACAGTGTTCAAGGACCACCAGAATATCATGTTCAATAATGACAATGGATTAAAATTTCATATACAAAAAGAGCACATGTATAAAGTGGAGTATGAAGGTAACATATTTAACATACTGAGCCCTTCAATGACCTATAAATCGGGATTGAAAAGTGAGTTTAAAAGATCTGAGATGTGTAATTTGGCTTGCCACTAATGAAACGCAGATACCACTACATTTGATATATCTCCAAATAAGGAATTATTACTCATAGGTAATAGGGATGGTGACTTACGTATTGTAAGAACACTTGACGGAGGAATTGAGGTACGCTATATCTGGAACTTATTATACAAAATTAGCATCTACTAACTATCATCTTTGCAGAGAACTATCGAAGAAGCACATTTTGCAGAAGTCACCAAATCATTATTTTTTCCATCGGGTCAAGTTGGATTGACCGCATCTTTAGATTTCAGTATTAAAATATGGGATATTGCCTCTGGTGCTAATCCAAGGACGTTTTTGTCACACAAAGAGCGAATAACAGATCTCGCTATGATAGGAAAGGGCAGAAATTTTGTTTCATCATCTCTTGATGGCTTCATCAAGTTATGGGATTGTGCATCTGGAACAAATTTCAATAGTTTCAAAAGAAAGGACAGCTTCAAGGATGGTGTCACATCCTTAAGTATTACCACAGTGAATTCAAGCAAGTCACCAAAAAACTCTCCAAAAAATGCGTATGAATTTGACACAGATGGAAAAAGACTCCTGGCTGGTTATGTTTCGGGCGTTATATGCGCTTATGATCTGGCCTCAAAAGATCAAATATTTACCACACCAAGCTTTGGAAGTGAAGTAGTGGGCATCTGGTCTAATGATAATACGATCTTGAGTGGTCATAAAGATGGGTACATTGCAAATTGGGATATAAGAGATGTTTCGAAGCCGTTAACAAAATTTAAAAGTGTCGCTAATCCAGACCTTATGGCATTTAGTGAAGAATTCACATTAATTTCACATCCTGTATCTGCTTTGTGTGGGATATCGTACAGAAATGCAACCTTCAATTCACCCACACCAACGATATTATCAGGCGTCTGTGACGAGCCTGTTGTTGGGTTGAAAGTGATGGCAAATGAAAGATATGTTGGTTCTGAAAATGGTGATATACATCTCTACGACGATTGAACTCTGCCCTTTGGATATGATTGAAAAACTAGTGCTTTATTTATGAAGAAATACGGGTATATAGCTGGCAGTTGTAGTCGACATGAACGAATTACAGTGTAATCTTTATTCAATACATTGTGGATCTTGTTTTTAACACTTCCAGCATTATCTGGCTCAAGAAAGTTTAAACGTTTTTAGTGCCTGAGCAGCTAACAATCGAAAAAACTTTGTTGTAGCTCAATGTTAGGTTGTACATTAGTTTGAAATCATTTGTAACGGCTTGTCTGACCTTGATTCTTTATAATTTTTAATTGACAAGGTCTGGTTCAAACTTCACTTCTGTTGCAGTAGACTGTAGTATGTACAGCTTGAGCTTTGTTCCACGGTCCACCCAGGTTTCAAAAGACGTTGAAAAAGAAGTACGGAGCTGTTTTATTTTTAAGGCGGAGGCAGGAAATGCATGCATACGCATGTACATATTCAAGATCCAGAAAACAAGCGCCTGGCGTTTTGCGTGCAAGATGGTACTCTTTGAACAGACTGCTAGATTTTAAGCTATATATACTAGCTGTGAAAACGTAGTAGAACTCATGACAACTTTGCAGATTTAACTAAGCTGGTAGATCATGATAATGTGTGTGCTTTAATTGAGCTGCGAACTGCGAACCAGCGGTATATATAGTGTTTGAGTACCAGCTCTTCGGAGATCTCTTGTGGTGTATTTATACTAAGTCTATAGCGAACTACATTATCACCAGTCTTATCTCAATTAGCTGACAAATACAAAGTGACATTTTTGAATTAACATTAAATTATAAATAATATATAATTAAGTGAATTGCTGCAAATTCAAAATTCAGAATCCACAGCTTGGTTTTCAGTACGTTACTGTTCAAGATCCATACCTATTGTTTAATTTAAACTTTTAATTAATTAGTGATCAAAGAGCTCGCGGATCATTAAAACACAACTATGGGGACGTAATGTATTCAATTCAGCTCTAATTGTGCAATTCATGAAATTGTTAATGATTCACACTAGTTGTTAGGTTTGAATAATCAGGTCACATATAACGGGCTGATTCATTTTTTTTGAAAAATTCACGTTTTTTTTGGCTGGGAGGGATTATGTAATCAATTCACTGCAAATTTTTTGCTGGGAAAATTTTTGTCTCGCTGGGACATTGAGCCAATCTAGAATGACGTCAATGTCTCCAAAGCGAAAAGACAAGAAGACAAGCCAGTCACGGGATCAGTCACGAGATAAGTCACGAGGACAGGCACGTGAGAGCTCAAACGTTTAGAGTTTAGGTCCTAAAATCTAGAATGACGTATTTAAAACGGTTTCAATTTTACGAAATTGTTATTTTTAGATTGATCTAATCTGTATTGTTGGAATCTAGAATCTAGATCCAGCTCAAGCTATATAAATATATACTCTATTTATTGGTACAAGCTGTTGTAGAGGGTAACCTTTTGAAAATTGGAAAAAAACCAGGAATTGATAGACTTCAAAAACGCGTTTTTAACAAACCTTACAATTACCACCCACGAGAGCCAAAAACCAACCCAAGCAAAAGCATCAGATACTTACCAGCTGTAATGTTGTTGAAACTAAGCTAATAATGTTAGTAAACTGGAAAAGAATTGATATCAATCACAACAGAATGTCGTTCTTGAAAGCAAAAAAACATACCTAAAAAATCAAGATGAACAACTCAGAAGCTTCACAACGCAGCTCTAACGAATGAACCTAAGACCAAATGCCAAAATGTTGGCTAGCATCAACCCACAATCAACCCACTACCATCTGTCCCATCATCAGTGGCAACTCAATACCCTCCGAGCCAAGGAACCCACTCACCATCAAAACATTCTTATTGGCATAGTTAATAATTGAAGCTAATGTCACCAATCCTTTAAACCATTCACCCTCATAAACAACAGCATCCTGTTCATCACCACCAGATTAACAACTAACAACATCCATGATTAACCATACCATATTCCAGCACACCCACCACCCCTGTTATGGTTAGTATTATCTATTCTTATGAATAAGACCACATAGTTATGGAATACTTAGTCAAGTTAAAAAAAAATTGGTGGAATAAGGAAACAAAAGAAGAGTGAAAGAAAAATGGGAAAGGACCTATATTTATATTCTTTGAATTTTGAGAGAATGTTCAACTTAGTACCAGGTCATTCAGTCGTACCACTTCCAATGCTGCAATCCTATTGGAACGGATGTGTTATTTTCAGCTGTTGTGGTGGGTGATTTTTTTGACCGTGATGTTGACCGTGATGTTTTGTAAACAACGCGTCGGGATGAAAACTAACATGACCACAAGAAAACAAGTTTACAGCAACAACCAGTTTACATTGGAATAAACAAATATAACCACTGAATACGTTGCCTCATGGGCTTCAAAAAGAACCCTGTATTGATATATTTTCTGTTAAAATTGAGTAAACATCGCGCTGAGCGTATACTTCTACTATAGCTTAAAATGCACTAAACGCGGCAGAGCTTTTCTCGACCAAATCAAGCTGAAATCTAACATTTGAAGTTCGAGCGATATCTTCATATGCTAGTCTACCTACCATATTTATCCCAGCCATCTCAAGTCTTTCTGTCGCTGTCTAGAGTATTTTGAAGTGTGTTGTTTACATTTCTTAACATCGCGCTAACAAAACCTCTGGCACGTGACCGTGCTGCCCCTACCGAAAGTCTTTGACAAAATTCAAAAAAACGAGACGTTGGAGTGGTTTTTTGAAGTAATTTTAGTTTTGGTGTTAATTTAAGAGCTTTTTCTATTGATTTATGTAAGAATTATTCAATTATATGAACTTTTAAAATTTAATGTTTTAGATGAACAAGTTTTTCAAGTTAAATTATAAAATAATACATATATTAAATTTCTTTAATTTATATTTTCAAATGTAAAATTTCAAATAATTCTCCTGCTGTTAAAAATCATCTTTTTGGCAAAATAAAGAGCTTGTCTTATAGCCTGGTTTCTAGAGATTATTTTAGTATAGATTTCAAATGGGGTTGTCTCCGAATATTTAATACTTATTTATAGGTGTATGTTTTCATGTCCGGTAATGAATCCTGTTGTGCCCAGTGCTTTGTCCTGTAAATTTGCCCTGTAATTTGTCATGAAGAAAGCCTTGTAAGAGCCTGGGGCTGGGCCTTCTATCTCAAAGAGCAGCGAGACGCAACCTTGCCATTTTGGGTCAAAATATTTTCAAAATTCAAGACACGAAAAAAAAAGTCGAAGCCTCTATGAAAGACGATTAAGACGCCAAACAACAGCATTAAGGAACTGTTAGGTTACTCCAGAAGCTCATCAGGCTATAGAGTTGCCAATTGTCAAATGATTCACGTACTTGTTTGATTTCAAGCTGTCATGTTTTGGTGAATTGAGACCAAAATGTCAACATCAACTAAATCGATAAAGTCATCAAATACTTCAACTAATATCGCCAAACAAAGCACTCAACCACTTCAACCTTTCATATATGATCAGTGATACAGCCAATGTCCCTCGCAGTGAATCAAAATAGATCTTTAGAGAACTACAGATACTATGAATTTGAATCAGGTAAGCCATTTAAATTACAAGCCCTAAAATGATTGATTATTCGTGTCATAATAACAACTTAGAGTCAAGGTCAACCAAGTATGATAGCCTTAAACATAAAGAAAGGTTTACATCCTATTTGCAAGTCTCTAAGGCTAGTTAATGGACGCTGTTGTCACAAAAACCTGATAGCATAGAAATTGTACAAAATTCAACGCGAAACCATCAGCAAGACAAATGTCCAACCACCTAAGGACAAAAAAACAAATGAACTCCAAAAATCTTGTTTTTGGTGGCAAATGAATGCGTAGTATCCACTCAATGAATATACATAAAAATCATTACTCAAAAGTGTTTTGGTGTTCTTTAAAATCATGTTGAAGTTTCTTCAGTTTTGGACAAATGTCTTTTTGGAGCCTTTACTATGGAGACATAGTTGGGACAATAGACCCCAATTACAACCACAAAACCTACAATCTCAAAACTTATACTGTAGAAAGATATGCCAATTGAAAGTCAGGATATCAAATTACGGAGTCAAAAAACCAACTCGTTGTTGTTTTATTCGTTCTCAAAGTGGACCTGTTTTTCGAGCTTGAAATCACTTTGATTTTCACCAAAAAACCCTGGTTCCGGCAACATATTTTTTTTGTTTTTCAAAATTTGTATGGGAAATCGATTTTCCTCCGAAAAAAATGAATCAGCCCGTTATATGTGGGTGTATGTCTCGCGCCTAATGGCTGTTTGGCATAAAAAGGACACACGTCAAATTAAATAACCACGGATAAAATACCATTGGCTCAAAAGTTAATTCAACTTCCATCTGAGGCCTGAAATCTAATACGGCTTGCAACCTTAGAATCTCGAAATGTAATAGCTTATACAAGTCCTTGATTTTCAATTAGCTTTCAAGAAGAAGTACATACTCAACACAGTCAATACATCTGGAGATATAGCCAATCAACAACAGCATCGAGTCGCTTAATTATCAATAGACCCACTTGCTAATTGGGGCGTTCATCAAATTCACCCGTTTATACTAGATTGAACCTATTAAAGTCAAAATCATAAACCTTTAATGCTTTAATGTGACTTTGAAAATCAATTACGGCTACAACGACGTCAGGGCCCAAAGATCTAATCGACAGATCTTGTAATTAGGTCATTTGCAATTAATTGTGCCTATAACAAGATAATTATACACTACAGATTGCAAAAAAATTTACAAGCAATTTATGACACTATTAACGTCCAATAATAAATATTTGATCTAACACACTTATGGGTATTTCTAGTTTAGAACTTTACTTCAAAGCTAAAAACTTTGAGGAATATATCTGAATGTGCGACATTGTAACTTTTACCTAATTTAAAGTCTCGAATATAATTAGCGTATTGATCAGACATCATAAGCTGATAGGAAGCTACAGAATTGAATTGTTGACTTTTTCTTGACCGCTGGTTGTTGTTGTAACTCGTAGATTTGAATCTTGAAGAGTGTATATCTAATTGTTAAATCAAGCTGTCCAGACATCTGTAATTGTACACAGAAATTACACAATTTAACCTGTATAATCTTCTGATCTCAGATCCTTCTAATATCTCCGATGTGAACGATCAGCAAAAAAAGTTATGCATAATTAACGCTCCAGAAATCGTACTGACGCTGAAGGTGCATCTGGTAGCAGGGAAAGGGTTCCAGAAGGCTGAAGCTCCAAAAGAAACTCTTTTCTGGCAAGAACTACACATTCAACGCATGTACATATTGTTTCTTCCTACAGTAAATAATAAAAATCTATTTTCAATGTGTAATAGCCCTGGTGATTAATCCATATCACTCAAGCTAGGGATATCCAAAAGAAAGTTGCCAGCACCACAAATGAATTCTTTTCCCTTAGATCACCAAGGATACTGCTTGAAATTTGTACTTTCGCTGAAGATCTTTGGTGACTGATTCTGAATCCTGATTCCTCGCTTATGTTAAGTTTGTGAGAAATTTATGCAGTCATCAAGACACTGACGCACACGGATGCATGTTGATGCACTTGAAACCAGAAAGGAGAAAAAAGTTGAGATTTAAAAATTTGAGTTCAACTTTCAAGGACGTGAAAAAACCTACATCAAGTTCTAACGATAACCTAACATGACCTGTGCACTTGTAGGGTGAAAAATAAAGGCGTTCAACAGTCTACTGTTCGAGCTTTGGTTAAAGAGAATCAGATGTCAGTTGAAGTGACTTCTGCACAATTAAATTAGGCGAAATTATTTTTGAAAGTTAACTATTCCTTCTCTTTTCTAGCTGAGAGTTCAAAAAAAATAATAAGTGATATATCAACATCCTTTCTCGTCTCATCAGCTTCTTTGTTACTCCACCTTTCACATTTAACCCATACAACATACGTTACAAAAGACATCAATACTCACTCAAAGTCAAGACTAGTCAATCAACAGGTTGTTTCAGTTTAATCTCAAATAAATCAAGTTCTGAATCTGAAACCTGTCTTTATTAGTTAGTTCCTTCATCTTCCTTTTTTTACTTTCTCATCACATTGAAAATGAAGTTGACTTCAACTTCAGTTGGATCATTTAGCTTCACTTTTAGCTATGCGCTGCTGCTGCTGCTCACTATAATTAGTTACGTTTCAGCTTCCTCAGTCAAATGTTCAAGCTCAGATATTGTTGCAGGGTGTTCCAATCTGGATTTCAGCTACAACTCTAAGAATACCAACAAGCCAACTGCAAATATAGCTGTTACTGGTGTGACTTGGCTAGGTGGTAATAGCTATCAAGTTACAATTCATTTCAAATCTTCAGCTACAATGTCATTATCATCACTATCGGAATTGAAGGTAATTGGTATCGATCAAACTTATGTGCTTTATAGCAACAACATGAAAATTTCAAGAATAACAAATCCAGGCGAATGGGATGCTACCTTCACTGTTACAGCTTCAAATTCGAATGGTCGTGCTTGGATGCCAACCGGTTATCAAGTTCAATTTGATTGGTGTTCTGCAGGTGTTACATCACAATCTGAATGTAACAGATGGAAATATGCCAAATCCTACGATTACAATACTGGGTGTAACAATTACAATAATTATGGCCAAAGTCAAACAGATAGTTCTGGTTACTATTGGCCAATAAATTGTGGATCTGGAAATAACCAAGATACAACTTCCACAACATCAAAAACAACATCAACCACATCACCTTCCACAACTTTGAAAACGACCAGTGAAAAAACAACATCAAAACCTCAAAACGGTGATTATGCTACGCCATATGCGCAATGTGGTGGTAATGGTTTTGCAGGCGCTTCTATTTGTACTGATGGTTACTATTGTTCATCAATGAACGATTACTATTATCAATGTGTTCCAGGAACAGCCACAACGTCGGCTTCAAAGCCAACTACTGCTGCCACTTCAACTACAAGCACACAAAAGACAACTTCAAGTACATCAACAAGCACATCGAAATCAAATCAAAATTGTGTTTCGGCTTATGGTCAATGTGGTGGTGCAAATTACGGTTCTCCAAGCTGTTGTACCGATGGATATTACTGCTCATCTATGAATGATTATTATTATCAGTGTGTTCCAGGTACTGCTACTTCAACCTCAACCTCAACCTCAACCACAACCTCAGCAAAACAACCAACAACCACTTCAACAAGCTCAACTTCCACCTCTTCAACAACCACATCAAAACCAACTACAGCTTCAGCAACTCAGTGTGTCTCAGATTATGGGCAATGTGGTGGTGTCAACTATGTTGGACCAAACTGTTGTGGTAACGGTTTTGCTTGTTCATCTATGAATGATTACTATTATCAATGTGT